TACTTCATTCAGTCCTTTGTGTGGTAAATTGAGTAGTAGTACTAGTAGACGTAGTATATTTTAGGAATTTCCGCAAACGCAATCAGTAAATGTGGCGGTAACATGTAGAATATAATCATTTTAAAACTACAGCTACGGTGCATCATATTTATGTGAACAAAGGCTGAATGCAGATATGTAAACAGTGTCATGGACGCGATATGCATCGGCACCACCGCATACATCCAGGCAAGACGATGTAGCGCAATATCTGTGTTGAACGGTTTTTGATCCCTTCATCATGGAGAACAGTATCCATTCTTCATCCGGTTTGCGATCCTCTGCTCTGTGCTGCCAACGACGTCCACTTGTTGCTCACATGTGTAGTGCTGCTGAGCGGGTTGCAACATTCGGACATGCATCGGCGAGTACCGTAAAAGCCCGTAATAAGGCCCTGGGCGGAAGCGTTAGTGACGGTCCAGAACATGGGCGCTAATGATTGGGTTGTCACATTCGGACATGCACCAGCAAGTACAGTACAGGGTTGGGGTGACCCGTTGCACTAGAAGCATCCAGTGCTGTAACCTTTGCGATGTTTGCAGCTATGCCGAGCAGTTATCTCCTGGGTTCCGACTGCTGCTCCGTGGAGATGATAGTAGGGCACTAGACAGCGGCTTTGTAAATTGCCATTCTGGAATGCTACCTCAGAGCAGCCGATGATGGTGACGTTCTTGCGCAGCATGTTGTTGGTACCACAATCACAGCAAGCTCACTGGTGATGATTAACTTCTGGCCGCATGTTGCATGTTTCTGAGATTCGTAGATAATGACGCGCGCGCGTGCATGAGTGTGTGTGTTTATATGTATGTATGCGTGTGAGCATCTGCATGTGCGCATCCACGTGTGTGTGTGCGCGCGCGCGCGCGTGTGTCGTGCACATGTACACGTGTATGCGCGTGTGTGTGAGCACTTGCATGTGCGCATCCACCTGTGTGTCCGCGCGCGCGTGTGTCGTGCACATGTACATGTGTATGCGTGTATGTGTGTGTGAGCATTTGCATGTGCGCATCCACCTGTGTGTATGTGCGTGCAAGCGCGCACGCGTGTGTGTGCGTGCACATGTACACGTGTATGCGTGTGTGTGTGTGTGTGTGTGTGTGTGTGAGCATTGGCATGTGCGCATCCACCTGTGTGTATGTGCGCACGCGTGTGTGATGAATGCGCGCATGTTCGCACACATGTATGTGTGTGTGTGTGCACTCATGCACACTCGCACACATGTGAGTACACGCTTGCGCGCGTGTGTGGGCGTGCGCGCGTGTACACAAGCTCGCACACATGCACGTGCGCGCATCCACCTGTGTGTGCGCGCGCGCATGTGTCGTGTACATGTGTATGCGTGTATGTGTGTGTAAGCATTTGCATGTGCGCATCCACCTGTGTGTATGTGCGTGCACATGTACGTGTGTGTGAGCATTGGCATGTGCGCATCCACCTGTGTGTATGTGCGCACGCGTGTGTGATGAATGCGCGCATGTTCGCACACATGTATGTGTGTGTGTGTGCGAACAGAGAGTCACATGTGTGTGCACTCATGCACACTCGCACACATGTGAGTACACGCTTGCAAGCGTGTGTGGGTGTGCGCGCGTGTACACAAGCTCGCACACATGCACGTGCGCGCATGTATGTTCTATCTTGTTATGTTGCCTATCCCATGATGCTCTCCTTTGGTGCTGCCACGTAGACGTCTGTCGTAGTTCCTGTCAGAAGTGCATGTGGAACTGGCAGTGATTGTCATTCTACCTTTCTTTCAAACAACGTCTCGTTTTCGAGTTACATGATCTCTCACAGGATCCACAAAGTATTTTGTGCAAAAGCAGCTAGGCTCACCTGAACCAGTGAAGAACGAGTACCGGAACAAACAAGCTGGCAAACTGCAACGGAGTTGACACCACCAGCAGATAAATAGGCCAGGCAGAGTACCGACATGGGTGATGATGATCTTGCACGTCCGGTGACTGGTCACTGGTGCATACGGCTGTGGCACTGGCAGTCAGGACTCAGGGACGTGGAGGCCGACTTGTCAGCAAGCAACATCTCGCCTACTCTGCCGGAATCTTCGCTCGACTCGACCTCAGTCAGACCTGGAAATATACTTTTGAAACTTTGCTTGCACGCGTTGCAGAATTGCCGGAGTAGGCGCGAGTATTATTGTGCACTATTGCTGGTACACACTCTATGTTGCGCTTTTGTCCAGAAGCGCCATGCTTCGTGACTAGTGGACCTGACGGTACGATGGCAATACTATTCTCACTTTCAAAGCCAAAATCGTAATGAAAATGTATGTCACGCTTTGAGAAAGTAAGCTTGCAGCGTCGTCATCTTCTGGACAGGCGCATAGTCACTGATTTGGAATTTTGAGCGTGCGCACCTACTTCTCAAACCGAGAAGTCGGCTGAGAACGAAAAACATTTGCGCCTAAATGCTTGACAATTGTGAATTCGATCGTCGAACAAAATGCGTCCTCGCGATGTCCGTGCACAGCTTTGGGATGGCCAAGAACTCGAAAGCCCTTCTCTGATAGACCCATAACCCATTGCTGAAGAGATCTTGCACTCCATCTCGCCCGACCTGGAGCGCCACTTTTTTGAAGGTCGGCTCCCTGACTATAGAGCAAGAGACAAAAGATGTTTGACTGAGTGAACTACTTCACTCTGTGATAATATGTTTTCATTATTATTAAATTTTGTTCACACAGAGTTGGCAGCTTCGAGACTATACACGTGACGTCACCACATCAGCCGTTATCATTTTCTCTCTCATCTTAGTAGGTTTAGTTGTTATTTTCCATAATTTTTGTTATACATGATAGTACATTGTATGTGCTGTTCTCTCGTTCTGCTGGAGTTCATCTTGTTGCTCACTTCCACCTTCACAAACGACTCACCGAAATCTAGCTATTAAAATCTGCAACCAACTGTATATTCAAGCGTTATTCCCTATTTTGACACTTCGTGCTTGGACTGATCCCGTTCTGGCCTGCCCCTCCCTAACTGGCTAAGGTGGCAGACTACCCAAAAATTCGCTGAAAAATCGAATTTGTAAATTCATATTGAGTGCTACGTCAGTTGAAAGAGCATGAATAGCTGCAAATTCCCTAAAAATTGTGTCCCTATCTGACCAGCCGTTCAAGAGTTATGGCCGAAAATGTGCCCTTGCAAGGAAAGATTTTTTTGTTGCATGCTGTCCAAAAAAGTCCAAAAAATCACGTTAAAAAACCACGTATTGGGCTGCACGGCGGCGGGCGAAAGCCCGCCGCCGTGCAGCAGGACTTTTGCCAGCACCCTCGTGACGTAACGTTGCAGATATGTGGCTTGATTATTGTAGTTGACGTTGATTTAGTTTGAGTCGTGTCAAGAAGTCAGGTAGGATTCAGTACTAGGCAGTAGTGAAACGTGAGTGGCAGTCTTTGCCGGTTTCTGAGGGCATCCTGGATTTGGTGTGCAGCGCTGTGGAAATGGCTTGCTGTGGAGGTCCCAGCACTGGATGTTGTATCAAAGGTACGACCTCGTAGCACGTGCCTAATTGGCCCTAAACCTAAAAAATTCAAAAATTGACTTGGGTCTGTGGGAGTCCGTGAGAGAACGCCCACTCGTTCCGTTGTGACAGATTCCAGGGCCACGTTGAGGGGCCCTACCCCACCACCCATGGCTGCTTCTGGACTTGTTTTAGGTTTGGGTCCCGCGCACGGACAGAATGGGCACGAAAATGTGAAAAAAATGGAAATGCATTTTTTTGGCTCCTGGGTGGCTCGCACACCGTGGCACTATGCCGGAAATTTGAGTTTTTCCGGCCTGGAAAGCCTGTCAGTGAGGCGCAAGAACTTGTAAATCATGTCCTGAGGGCCAGCATAGTGGCAGGAGTGTGTGGTCAAAATTTCACTCAAATCCACTGAGAAACACCAAAGTTACGGTCAATTGAATGCCATATGCAATTTATGGGTAGGCTGCCCCCTTACATGTAAGTGTGTCACGTCACAACGGTCAATAGAATAAAAAGACTAAACTATGGTGTCCGCTCACGAAGCTAACTCACCACGGTTACTATAACATCCAGTAAACCTAGCGACAGAAGCGGCGAATTAACGGTGGGGTGGGGGATGAGTCTCACAACCACTGGCACAATTGCGGAGAGTGTTGTGTTGTCCAGAGCAACACTTTACATGGGTATGGTTATTTCCTATACCTACATGATTGTGTTATGTACATACATGTATACAGGAATGGGGGGGGGGGGGGGGGGCAAAGTGATGGTTTAGAGAGGCTGGCGATAGCTGTGGAATAGCCGATCAGTGTCTCCCGGCCCACCATGTACCAGCATATCGATGGAGAAACTAGTTGCAGTGTGTACCCGGGCGGTGCATATCAAAACACAGAGGGGTGTACAGGGGCGAAGAAATCCTGAGTTTCCACTTCAAACTGGTTACTCCAGCACTGTGAGTGTGAAGCCTGATATGTGAAGAAGAAAGAGACAAATACACAAGAGCCGACAGGACGCATAAGACAGAATAGCGCAAGACAGAATGAACTGGACATTACTTGGCAGGAACTACACAAAGTAACTCTTAGTCTTACAATAATAGGCTGCAGGCTCTGCCGACCTACATTGTACATGTACACACGTGACATGATGACTGTGGACCGTGAATATTCTTTTTTGATGACTGTGGACCGTGAATATTCTGTAAAATGTAGGTCAACAGATCCTGTATCACATGAGACCATACATAATAATTATGTATAATGACTGTTGTTACATTCTTCCAAAACATGACGTCACAGAATTCGTAAAAAAAGACAACTTTCGTCGCAAGCGGCTAGCCTGTCGCGCGCGCGAGACTCATCATGGGCGCCCTGCAGCTGGAGCTCCGGAGCTGCAGCAAATGCGAAGCGCGACACACGAGCGCGAACAAACTGTGTCACGTGTGTGTCTAATCGGACCGTTGATTATTTATTTTCGTTCTACTCGACAATTCCAAAAATCAGTGCCATTCATTGGCTTTAGCTTTGCCCTTGAACTTGAAATCTCGTGCCTTATTCTTTCCTGGGGACTGGTGTTGGATATTGAACGGGCGGAGTTACCGCCGGGATGATGGATGAAGGAGATGATGGCCTAAACTTGGATGCGCGCATTCTCATTTTCGCGTGGCCTGCCACTAGTGTTTCGCAGATTCACAAAGGGTGTCACAGGCATAGCTGGAGGAAGAAAGGTGAGAGAATCGGTTGCACAGTGCAGATCAACCCAACCATTTGGTTGTTTTAATTTTACTTCGCACAGTCAAACGGGATGACCACCCAATAAAATTTCCGAACTTGACATTTTTTTAATTTATTGATTTTCCCACATTATACCACAGTTTGTTGTTCAGGTTGTTTCGCTTCAACTTTTGAGGTATGAATTCCTTAACTGCATACTCGACATGCAAGCTCCATACTGACCAGGCTGTGTCAACATCAGGTCACGGCTTGTTTGACTTTGTCCGTTAGGCCGTGTTTGCATAGATATTGTGATGGCGTCAAAGACAGTTAAAGATTGTGTTGGTCGTGTGTCGGGGGGTATTGTCCCCGCCGAAACTGAATGCAAGTTGAAGAAAGACTAGGTCTAGTGAGTTATGATCAGAAGTGTCCTGTGGGTCTAGCCCTCAGCCCCTTTGCAGATCTGCGGCAAGCAGTAAACTATATTTACACCAAAAAGCGCAAACAAAACTTGATTTTTTACGCGGCTCTTTTCACCGTGATAATTATTGTACGCGTGTTATGAAAAGTTGAAATACTCATGGCAACTGGTGGGTGAATCATTCAAAAATGCAAACGTGCCCGCTGTTGAGTGCAGCCATGTGAATCCACACAGTCACTTTTTCTCGTAAATCACTCGCCGTAAAACGTGCAAGTGGCTGTCGTGTGAATCGCCTATAACCGACTGTCCACAGTTGTGGAAGTATTTTCCAGCACTCACTGTACTTTATTAGAGAGGTTCCGCATAACGTAGTTACGTTAGTTAAAAAAATGTAGTCGATCTACGGAAAGTCTTACGTAAACTGCATGCGCATCTGGGTTCCGCCATACGGAGTTTTCAAATCATAGCAGACTCAGCGGAGGACGTTCAGGTTGGTTGTAACTCTTGAGTTTCATGCCGTTAGGCAATCATCAGACAACTGATACTCGGGTCTACCTAACAGTGAGTCAGTATGCTTATAAATACATAGGGCCACAAGCATAAACAAATTTAGCGCTAAATCTGGTGTAAGGTATGGGGAGAACAGCTGGCGCGGGCCACGGCGCGACAGTATAAGCGCCAGGAGAGTGGCAGGCAACAGGCAGGTGTGAGCATGAAAGCGCGGAAAGATGCGATGGGGAGGCAGTGTACAGCAGATGGGTGGAGGTGCCAGGAGGATGGCGGGCAATGGGCCAGTGAGATCGCTAGGGGGTCTTTGGGTGATGGGCAGGCGTGGGCGTACTATACTATCCTCACAACAAGGCTCCACCATGAGCATGGCAAACTTTACAAAGTAAGCCTTTCAGTGCAAGTCTTGGTGGCATGGCGTCTTTTGGGTGTTTTCTTAGGTTCCAAGAGACATGGAGCTACATTGTGTGTTTGCGTGTGTGTGCGTGTGTACGCGTGTGCGCGCGCGTGTGTGTGTGTGTTTGGCACACGCCATGTACTCTCTTGTGCAGGTACTACACGAATGCGAAACGCGACAAACTCTACAACGTCATTAGCCTGGAGTTCACCAAGACTAAGTTGGAGCCTCTAGTGGAGTCACCCAGTCTGGTACGTCAGCAATCCTACATACACTTGAGAGGATCAAAAGCGTTTCTGCTGTAACTCTGAGTTTCACGGTTTTAACCGATCATCAGACAGCAACTTGGATTACAATTTTCAGAAGATATGATTGATATAGGCTGCAATCAATCAATCCTATGCATGTAACGTTACATGTAGTACACTCTTATCTGTTGTATCCGGGCGGTCCGGGACCGGGGGCTCTGCCCTTCATTTGGAAATGTTCGTAATCATGTACATCTTGTTGTGGAAGGCACGTAGATCTGGCATATTACGTCACTCCTGGTATTTCCACAAATTGGTAGAAAAGTAGTAATATATCCACTAGAACTCACTCACAGGGTTCCCCGTAGACCAAGATGCCCGTAACTTGGAGGTCCGGATAGGAGCCGTGAGAAATGAGTGCACTGTAGTTGAGCACTCCACTGCACTACTGTCTCCCCTGTATGCCGTGTTGGGGGGTTTGGTGGGCGTTTGAGGCTCATGTCATACATGATCATGCTTAGGCTCGTTTTGAGAAAGTATGGATTTTTAACTCCTGATTGGTTTGTGCAATGTGTTTATATTGGTTTATCAATGCCCCATCACAAGCTGTATAGTATGTATTCGCAACCGTGTACGAATTGCTCATTTGTCTTTTCTTCTTCCTACTGCTTGCTTGCTGCGGCTGCTGTTGCTGTTGTTGTTGTTGTTGTTGCACGCAGGTACGTCATTTGGATTAGGTGGACTTGGTGTGGCCGGAAATATTGCGCGCTTTGCAGCAGGAGGCCACCAACCGACTGGTCGACATGAAATATCCCAAAGTGCAAAAGTATGTGTTTTGTTTGCTCTTGTTGATGGTGCTGCTGCTGCTGCTGCTGCTGCTGCCGCCGGTGTTGCTGTTACTGGCCAACTGCTGGTGCTGTTGATAGTACTACAGGTGTAGCTGCCCTATTGCTGGTGCTGCTGCTGTTGTTGGCTTACTGATTGTGCTGCTGTTGCTGTTGCTGTTGCTGGCTGCCCTACTGCTGGTGGTTGTGCTGGCGCTGCTGTTGCTGGTCTACTGTTGTTGTTGGCTTACTGATTGTGTGGCTGTTGCTGTTGCTGGTCTACTGCTGTTACTTGTGCTGTTGCTGTTGCTGGCTTACTGATGGAGCTGCTGTTGTTGTTGCTGGTCTCCTGCTGTTGCTTGTGGTGATGCCGTGCTGTCACAGGTACTGCCTGATGAGCGTCGGTGGCTGCTACACAGATTTCCGTATCGACTTTGGTGGCACATCCGTCTGGTATCATATTCTCAAGGGTGGAAAGGTCAGCATTCCCTGTCTGTTTGTCTGCACGCCTGTCTGTTTTTGTGTCACACACATGCACACAGTATATAGATGGACGATGGGTGTAGATACAGACATACATCTGTCTGTCTGTCTGTATGTCTGTCTGTCGGTATGTGTGTTTATCTGTCTGTCTGTTTATCTGTCTGTCTGTCTGTCTGTTTCTCTACCCATCATCCATCCGTACTTGTATGTATATTTACCTCTCTGTCCATCCTTCTGACTGACAAGCTCCTTATAATCACGAATGTGTCTTGTAGCAGAACCTGAGAAGGAAGTGGAATGAGAAGAAGAAAGCTGGCATTGGCTTAAGTGTACAGCATTTCACTGATTAGAAGTCGCACTTGATGATAAGTCGCAACAGGTCTGAGCCAAGTTGTTTCAATACAGTACATTCACATATTACGTAGGAAGAAGTCACGCTCGATCGTAAGTCACACCACCTTCTTTAGGGGTCTTCCGTAATTTTCGAAAAATTAAAAAATCCGTCCTCGTGCAAAATTGTCTCTGACCCACCCACCCACCCCCATTTCTTTCCGTTAAGTTTTTGATTTTACCGATGCCCAGCTGGAAAATAATAACTCCTGACGCCATGTTTTCTGACTGCACCTACATTGTATGTCAAGTACTAGTAGCTAAGTACAGTGAGTAGTAGGTCAACCGACGGCCATGCACGTCCTACAACTACATGAAAAGTATGAAAAGTCATGTATAGTAGATACTAGGGACCTTTCGCATTTGCTACGAAACGAATGCGAAACGAAAGTTTGATTCGGCTCGTAATCGTTTCGTTGAAAACAGATTTCAGGTTTCGCAAGTCGTCATGCAAATGTGCATGGCAACTACGAATACGGCCGCGGGCGCCGGTAGTTTGGCGTACGGGTTTTTACACGCACACGTGCATGGATCATGGAATCAAGGGAAAAGGGTGTACCTTACAAAACATGTGTACCTATCCAAATAAATGTGTACCTGACGGATTCGGAGCGTGCCACGAATGAAGAGGCTTCCATTCGTGAAAACGAGTTCTCTGCAGGGACTCTGACGAATCCTCGAACCCAGGTGACGAATCAGCATTCGTTTCGTATCCGTATGGTCCCTACTGGTGTTTGCGACAATCGATCCTACACTACGTCTACAGCAGGGAGTCGTAAAATACCGGTATTTTACGACTCCCTGGTCTACAGTACACTACACAGTCAGTGCAACAAGTGTATGAAAGTCCCGGCCTGGAGCAAAAAAAAGTAGGAAAAATCAAAAAAATTAATTCCGCCAGCACTCTTGACCACCCACCCCCTTTTTGCCTGAGGACGGATTTTTTAATTTTTTGAAAAATACGGACGACTCCTTACCTGTTCATTGGTTGAGGGAAAGATGCAAACGGGAAAACGTCTGAAGAAAAAATTGACTGACGCCACCAGGACACGAGCAAGGGGCTTTCACTTGAGGGCAGCGGTGCTCTAACCCTTCTGTTGCAAACCACCAGTTCTGAAGTGGGAAAGGCCTTCGCGCTTATGGCATTGTATTCATTGCAATGTTGTATTGCGACTCGGCCGTAGCGCTGATGTTGGTGCATGGCATACGCTATATGCGCTGTGTGCAGTTTACAGTATACGCTGTAATGTCATGTTTTATATGTGTATGTTTTTCATACACATCTACACTGTTTTGCATGCTATAAATACCTGCTGTTATTACTGTTCATTATTGTTATAGTCCATCGAAGTGAAATATACTGTCAAGAATAAAATAGTTGTCCTCGTGCCGTGTGGTCGTTCGTTCCTGACACTTTAGAGAACCAGAGGTTTCACAACACCTTCTTTGCCGTTGAGGTTCAGTGTAAAAACGTGTGACTAACTGTACTGTTTACAATGCGGCCGTGTGTGTGTGTGTGTGTGTGTGCGTGCGTGCGTGCGTGCGTGCGTGCGTGCGTGCGTGCGTGCGTGTTTGTGTGCGCGTGCGCGTGCGCGTGTGCCTGTGTGCCTGTGTGCCTGTGTGTGTGTGTGTGTGCGTGCGTGCGTGCGTGCGTGCGTGCGTGTGTGTGTGTGCGTCTGTGTGTGTGTGTGTGTGTGTGGGTGTGTGTGCGTGTGTTTGTTGTGCACTGCAGGTTTTCTGGCTGATTCCTCCGACCCCAATCAATCTTCAGATCTATGAGCAGTGGGTGTTGTCGGGTAAACAGCAGGATATCTTCCTGGGTGACATGGTCGAGACGTGTGCCCGCGTCGAATTGAAAGCAGGCTGGACTTTTGTCATTCCTACTGGTGAGTGAGTGTGTGTAAGTGTGTGTAAGTGTGTGCCAGCTAGTTCGGTTGGTGGGTGCACTTATGCCTGATTGTGTAGGGTCTGTTGCCAACGGGCTCGGCTGCTTGAAGGTGTAATGTGTGTGTGTGTGTGTGCATGTATGTGTGCAGCTGTGTGGTGGATACCAGGCTAAAAATAGTGGCAGTCAATTCATCAGCCTTGCAAGCTGTTGAATGGTGTAATCCCAGCACAAGTTGCTATGTCTAACATAGATGTTCGCTATCATCGCTTCCGCGATGGGCAGGTCTGAGGTCTGAGGTGTGTGTGTGTGTGTTTGTGTGTGTGTACGTGTGTGAATGTGTACGCGCGAGTGTATGTATGTGTGTGTGTGTGTGTGTGTGGTTGTGTGCGTGTGTGTGTGCGTGTGTGTGTGCGTGTGTATGTGTGTGTGTATGTGTGTGTATGTTTGTTCGTTGACAGGCTGGATTCATGCAGTTCACACTCCTGTGGATTCGCTAGTGTTTGGTGGAAACTTTCTGCACAGTTTCAACATAAGCGGTCAGCTTGCCGTGGCGGACATTGAAGAAACTACTAAGGTACGTGAGCTGTGCTGTGCATGTCTGTGATATCTTCTACAACTCTACCACGGCAATGCCTTGTGTGAGCTTTCCAAGGCTTGGAGTTGTGCATGAAGGTTTCTGTTTTGTTATGCTCCTACGTCGTTCATCGATGTTGCCGTGGAACTGTGTGTGTATGTGTGTGTGTGTGTGTGTGTCTCTCTCTCTCTCCCTCTCTCTCTCTCTCTCTCTCTCTCTCTCTCTCTCTCTCTCCATCTCTCTCTCTCCATCTCCGTACACTGCACTTTGTACCACTATGATTCCCTCTGTGTCTTAAAAATACAAAATGTGGGGAAACGATCTCCATTTTGCCGTGGCTGTTGAATTTATTTTCCTGAGAACGAGAAAGTATTCTGTCTCTGCTGCTATGTCCTTTGTCGATGTGATTTCGACGTGAGCTGCGGGTCATTCGCGTTGTTTTTAGACGCGCGAGCCAAATAACGCGAGCTGAACTTTCGCGTCACGTCAGAAATAACGTGAATTTTAACCTCTCTAATAAAAGCTCAATATGGAAGATGTGTATATGCAATATTTATGTTTGTACCATCATCAACAATAATAGAAAACAGGATCACTGCACTTCGGAGTATCCAAACATAAATATGTAGTTATCCTGTCAAGCAAGATTACATAACCCCATGTACTCTTGTGTCAAAGCACAGGATCTTATTCTTACAAGGGAAGAGGCTGCACAGTACACGTATTATCACAATTTATCAGACGTATTCGGAATCTGTGGTGGACAAAGCCCCATTAGACCTTGTACAGACTAGTGCAAAGAAAAACGTGTGATGCGTTGATTCGCCGTACACATGTCGTAATAATCACTAGTGCGTGGAACATTGCATCATAAAAATGACGTCAACTTGAAATTCTGTGGTGACAGCAGGGTGTGCGGGAGTTTCACACTCTTCGGGGGTTATATACTCTAATTTCAGAAATTTTAGGTGCTCACTATTTTTCAGTATGAGGGCAAAAGGCCAGGTTAGGCGAACAGAACTTTTAGGTGCAGAGAAGCAGTTCCCTATTGGATTATGTGTGTTAGTGTTTGTTCGGTGTATTGAAACTTTAGGTATGAAACAGACGCACCAAACGTACCGAAAAAAAAGTATACCAACAATTTGTGAAATTACAGTACTATTGTTGTTGGGTGTTGCCGGTTGAATGCTGTTCACGGCAGGTATCCTATGCCTAAATATGGGCTTGTATATTCTGATTGTCTGATCGCTGACAGATACGGACGCAGCGAAGCTCTCTACTGCGCCCGCATGCGCCGAGATCCCACTGCTGTCAACGGATGACACTGCAGCCCAGTCGCCAGCGACGGCGGCAGCTGCTGCTGCTGCTGCTTCGTCAGGAGATGGGAACAGCTCACAAGGCGGCAAGCCACCTCCATCACCGCCATCCTGCCTGCTCTCGGACATGGCCTGTCTCAGCTCGTATGAGATTGATGGCTTGCGACGGCTGCTGGTCGAGCTGAACGTTTCCACGACAATGGTGAGGGCGTGTCCCGAGGAGCTGGGGGATCCTGGGGAGCTCATGTCGACCGTGGAGGTAAGTTGTCGTGTGTGATGTGTGGGTAAAACCGAAGTTACCGAAAATAAATCTCCACCTAAATTTTCCGGTTTTACAGTAGCCTATCTTCAGGGACATACATAACTATTGGCGTAGATTTGCTTAATCGTTATGCCTTGTATTCTCTTGTCAAATGTACACCGTAGATTCTGTTGAACGAGTATGAAAGCCTGTATTCTCCTCTGCAATGTACAAGCATTTTCCTGTGCAATGTATGCTGTATATTCTGTTGAATGAGTATGAATTCTCCTGTGCAACGTGCGCTGTAGATTCTGTTGAACGAGTATGAAAGCCGGTTTCGCGAGGACAAGGCCACTGGACATTTTATGCTCATACCGGGAATACACCCTTTGTGTACCAGGCATCTAATGTATGCGCGGGGTACTCATCGGTAATGATGGACCTATAGCATAAAACTAAGACACATTTTGTAAGTGCAAGTTATGTTTTTCTGAATCTGTTGGTATCAATGTGTCCAGGTAAGAAAATATTTTGACCGAGCACACAACTACAGATACAGGCCATACCTGGAATACCTATTTCTGAGTCAATTGTCACCCATATTCCTGACAATTTAGATCCGTGTACTTGGAATCGTGAATATACTTGCTGATATTGCCCTTCTTCACACAGAGCAACAGGAGACCACTGCACTAGTGTATAGCCGCCAGTTGCATGCTTCAACAATAGCGAAATGGACGGAAAAGAGCCATATTGCGTGAATACCAGATGCCAAACAATTGCATCAAAATTTCAAATTATTGAAATTGTGTCAGATTTGAATATGTACTTTTCACTTATCTACTTGCGTCCAGCGAGGGTATTGGCGATTGAGAAGACCAGGAATAGTCGATGGGAGAGGAAACTCACCTGCCTTGAATATTTCAGGCCATCGCTGCGCTCCCTCTCGCTGCTGCTTGGAGAGCGAATACTGCAATGGCTTAAGCGATGGAAATTCTCATTTTCGATTCAGATCCTGAGATTATATCGCTACTACAACACTCTCCTGGCGTTCACCATCACTAGTAGACATCGACAACAGCTAGAGCAAGCTATACTCCAGATACAAGCAGCGTAACCGAACGAAAACACGATCGAAATTGCTAAAATATATCGCAGAGCGCTGAAATTGCAAAGCGCACTTTTCGCCGCGATTGTTCTCCATACTTTCAAATGGCAACCTACCCACATCATACATCAAAATTTGCAGTGGGATCTCAGCTGCCCAGCGCAGAAAACCGCGAGTCGATCGGAGCAAGGACGCCGCCGAACGGCGCGGCGCAGTGCGGTGCGTCGAACCGTAACGTACGTTACGGTTCGAGATGGGGCTGGTACACAAAGGGTTAGGCGAACAGAACTTTTAGGTGCAGAGAAGCAGTTCCCTATTGGATTATGTGTGTTAGTGTTTGTTCGGTGTATTGAAACTTTAGGTATGAAACAGACCCACCAAACGTACCGAAAAAAAAGTACACCAACAATTTGTGAAATTACAGTACTCTTGTTGTTGGGTGTTGCCGGTTGAATGCTGTTCACGGCAGGTATCCTATGCCTAAATATGGGCTTGTATATTCTGATTGTCTGATCGCTGACAGATACGGACGCAGCGAAGCTCTCTACTGCGCCCGCATGCGCCGAGATCCCACTGCTGTCAACGGATGACACTGCAGCCCAATCGCCAGCGACGGCGGCAGCTGCTGCTGCTGCTGCTTCGTCAGGAGATGGGAACAGCTCACAAGGCGGCAAGCCACCTCCATCACCGCCATCCTGCCTGCTCTCGGACATGGCCTGTCTCAGCTCGTATGAGATTGATGGCTTGCGACGGCTGCTGGTCGAGCTGAACGTTTCCACGACAATGGTGAGGGCGTGTCCCGAGGAGCTGGGGGATCCTGGGGAGCTCATGTCGACCGTGGAGGTAAGTTGTCGTGTGTGATGTGTGGGTAAAACCGAAGTTACCAAAAATAAATCTCCACCTAAATTTTCCGGTTTTACAGTAGCCTATCTTCAGGGACATACATAACTATTGGCGTAGATTTGCTTAATCGTTATGCCTTGTATTCTCTTGTCAAATGTACACCGTAGATTCTGTTGAACGAGTATGAAAGCCTGTATTCTCCTCTGCAATGTACAAGCATTTTCCTGTGCAATGTATGCTGTATATTCTGTTGAATGAGTATGAATTCTCCTGTGCAACGTGCGCTGTAGATTCTGTTGAACGAGTATGAAAGCCGGTTTCGCGAGGACAAGGCCACTGGACATTTTATGCTCATACCGAGAATACAATCTGAGGTATGGTGTGGTGAATTGCTGTGTGGTACTGCTGCTGCTGCTATTGCTGCTAATAGTGCAGCTATTGCTTCTGCTGCTTCTTCTGTTGCTGATGTTGCTCTCCTCTCCATCCCCACCATCTGCCTGTGGAATATTTGACAGTGGCAACATGTACATGTACATGTAGTAACAGATATATGTTCATGGTGTTTCTTTCCTTCTGCGTGTGTAGAATCTGCGTGTGTCGCCCGCACCAATACCTGACAACATTGTGGAAATAGTTGCAGTTGAAACAGAGATTGTATGCAAGTCCTCAGCTGCTACTGCATCTCCAAGAAAGACAGCAGGTGAGCTACAATGACAGGGGCGTCACAGGGCGGTTGGGAGTGGTACAACGGGGGTGTCCCCCGGGAGAAAAAAAATTCGGATTTTTCGGCCAACAGGGCACGTTTTAGCGCTCTACAGCCACAAAGGAGGGTTCTCCTAGCACTTATCAGACAACCCCACTCGTACTCCAGCTCCAAAAATACTTCTCATAGATTTTTTGGTCGTACTTCGTAGGTATCCAAAGCAAAAAGGAAGCCATTGCCCTCGAAAAAATCGCAAAATCCAAAGTACAAGCGTGCTGCTTGCTGCACGTTCTAGCGCCAGCCGCTGTGCAAAAACGTATGTTATTACCACAATGACGATGATATTGCTTTCACAACAATGACCACAACCTAACTGGGTTATCAGTAGGAGCAGTGACACAGCCTTACTGCTCCAAGTAGGATTTAGAAGAGAGTGAAGGGAGAGCAGACCGAGCCGGTCTAAGCAAGGAAGTAATCGGCATCAGAGGTGAGCACGCAGCATCGCAGATTGTCTCGAATTGCGCATCACACCAGCGGCAAAATTGCTCCTGTGCATGCAAGTGGATTTCCTTGCACTTCTCAGTTTGGGAAATGCTCGATTATGATAATTCTGCGTGCGAGTGCACTAGCCCTGAACATACATGTAGGTGACTAGTTTGTGGTGTCTCATAGCCTACCTCACGACCTTCTGCTTTCTTTCTGCATCACTTGTATCTTGCAGGTATATCATCTCGTGACGACCACATTGAAGTCTGAATTTGAAGTGCGAAGATGCTTCAGCAACCACATCGTACTTTTCCATTGCTTTCATTGTGCTTCTACTGTGCATGTGTGTAACTTGTGGGGTATACATGTGATGACATTGTATGCTGGCGACACGGTCAGATTTTGTCCATGCGTGTAACGTACACCTGCATGTTATGCATCGAAAAGGATCTGCCACTTGCGATCCTGGGACAAGTATCAGGTCAGCTTTGTCTTGTGTGGGCTGCACCAGATTGCTGTTCACTTTTCTATCTGTTGGATATGTGACTTTCTGCAAGTCTCTGGTGTATGGTGGCCACTTCTTTGCTTGTCACTTTGTATGATATTACATTCTGTATTCGCTGCTTCCATGGCGTGGTCTGCAAACTGCAACCCTTGGGCAAATGTCATGTTTGCTATGTTGTGCTTTGGCCGTCAGCTTGTCTACACGTTGTAGTTGAATTATTTTGTTCCCCAACTGACTTCCTGAAGTACGCTGGCCACTGCTTTGCATGGCATTTTACATGAAGAATTTCCTGTTTGTGTCGTGTGCATGTGCGTATGTGTGCCGTGTGCATCCGCGTGTTTGTGTATCTGTGTGCGGGGTAAGTGAGGTGGAGAGGGCTGGTATGTATCAGTGTGTTATCGTACTCTCATGCCTACATACAGTACATCGCGCGCGTGTTCATCATGTTTACCTTCGGGGTTGGGGTGGGGAGGGAACGGAAAAAGAACTGAAATTATCCATATAAAATCGCTCTGTGAGCGCTTCTGAAAAACCTTTACTGGCGCTGCCCCGTCGTAAAAGTAAGAAATTAAAACTGGCCCATTAGAGAGGTTAAGATTCACGTTATTTCCGGCGTGACGCGCAATTTCACGTCAAATTTGGCGTAAAACTCCAAATTTCGAAGTGAGCAGCAGGTCACTCGCATTGATTTTTCGATGTGCGAGCAAATAACGCGAGCTGAACTTTCGCGTCACGTCAGAAATAACGTGCATCTTAACCTCTCTATTGTCCCCCAAATGTGAACTGATCCACCTAAATCGCGAATGACGGGACCCGAACGCACCAGTAGCACGAGGTCGGGAGGGCACAGGATCACAGCACATCATAGGGTAACACCATCACTAGTACATGGTATCAGTGGCAGTGTAACTTTGCTAGTCACATAGTTACTTCCATCGGATATCCAACATGGGAGTTCATCTACGACCATGGCCTGTGGACCAGCGTCCCCAGCTGCATCCACAGGTAGGAACCTGATTGATTGATTGATTTTATTTGGATTCGCGAGACCAAACGAGCAGCAGGAGTGCTCAATAACAGGGTAGCGAATGGTTGAGTTGTGCTATGTGACAATGTAGTGTGTGCGGAGGCCCAATATGATGTAAGGGGATGGGAGGAGAGAAGGCCAGCGGAGAGTCAAACTCAGAAGAGGGAGGAGAGAATAACTGAAGTACACATTTATTGTGCGAATTCAAATAAACCAGACAAACAGCAAAACGAGTACACAGCTCACGAGAATAAAGAGGACTGGAGCACAGAATTGAACTGCTGAAGTCGTACACAGCTGACGAGAACAAAGACAGGAGCACAGAAATGAACGGGAGGCAGTCTACGAAGTGGTGGTACCATCGGTGCATGCACCACGGTACATTATCCGGTACATTATCACATTATCGGCTTTGCAAAGTTCGTGGGTACTGAATACCATGGTATAGCCAACTGTGTAGCAGTCTACAACGACTTACGTGTAGGGAATGGCATCTCGGCGGAATGCTGGGATGTTGCCCATAGCTCGGCGGAATGCTGGGATGTTGCCCATGGCTCGGCGGAATGCGTGGATGTTGCCCATGGCTCGGCGGAATGCTGGGATGTTGCCCATGGCTCGGCGGAATGCTGGGATGTTGCCCATGGCTCGGCGGAATGCTGGGATGTTGCCCATGGCTCGGCGGAATGCTGGGATGTTGCCCATGGCTCGGCGGAATGCTGGGATGTTACCCATGGCTCGGCGGAATGCTGGGATGTTACCCATGGCTCGGCGGAATGCTGGGATGTTACCCATGGCTCGCACCGTGTCAGGTACAGCTGTATATGGTTCCATAACAGGCAACCGTGAGATGCCGGTCGGCATTGGCCTGCTCGGCTTCTGTGTATTGGTTGTTGTAGGCCCAGACTGCCCTGAAGGCGAGTTGCTCCGCAGTTGCGAACAAACAGTGCCTGCAGAGCAGGACTGGCACGGTTATGAACGCATCGCCATACCAGCACGAGCAGTTTCTGGCGATATACCTCGTCCATGCGATGCACAGAGAGCCTCTCCAAGTGATCACTGGCCCTGGTAAATCGTGGTCGTCCGAACACCGCCTTTGCTGCGCGGTTTTGGGCCACCTGCAAGCGGTTAACTGGTTGTGGGTCAAGCCGGAGCCATATGCTGACGATCCATATATCAAATCCGGCATGATGACAGATAAGAAGTACTTGCTTCGACTAGCTAGAGTGAGGCAGCGTCGCGCCCGCCACAGACTACCGATCTTCCTAGCAGTGCGTGAGATGCACCGATCAACTTGCGGTTGCCAGGCCATTCGTTCATCGATTAAGACGTCGAGGTATTTCGCGCCGGTGGTGTGCGGAAGGACATCATTTCGACAGCGTACAACCACGTCCGGCTGCTGCCCACTGCTGCTGGTAAAAACCAATACATTGCTCTTCTTTGCATTTAATACAAGACCACGAGCGTCCAGCCGACTTGAGAGGGAGGTAACCACCAAGCTGAGCGCATCAGACACCTCTTGCGCTGTCCGTCTTGCACATGTCAGGGCGATGTCATCCGCAGTGATGATGCCGGCGCAGATTCCGAGGGGATATCTCTGGTGTATGGAGAACAGCATGGGTCCTAGTACAGAGCCCTGCGGCACACCACAAGTGCTCCCTTGTGCTACTGCTGCGTTCGGGTCACGTCATTCGCGATTTAGGTGGATCAGTTCACATTTGGGGGTACAATGAGCCACGGTTTTAATTTCTTCCTTTTACGACGGGGCAGTGCCAGTAAAGGTTTTTCTGAACCGCTCACGTTCACAGAGCGGTTCAAGTTATAATAATAATGGATAATGTAAATAATACTAATATGCTACCTGTGGTGTGGTGCAAGCCCAGCACTGAGCTAAATCAAACAATGCTACATACAGCCTACACAGCCTCTAATGGCCCTCTATACAGTGCTGCGATGGCAGAACTTCACATCACTGGCCTTTCTTCGGCCTCCAGCTATGTCTGTCACACCCTTTGTGAATCAAACACCAGTGGCAGGCCACGCGAAAATGAGAATGCGCGCAGCCAAGATTAGGCCATCATCTAATTCATCAATCATCCCGGCGGTCACTCCGCCCGTTCAATATCCAACACCAGTCCCCAAGAAAGAATAAGGCACGAGATTTCAAGTTCAAGGGCAAAGCTAAAGCCAATGAATGGCACTGATTTTTGGAATTGTCGAGCAGAACGAAAATAAATAATCGAAGGCGATCGTGACGGTCAGATTCGACACACACGCGCGTGACACAGTTTGGGTCGCGCTCGCGCGTGTGTCGCGCCTCGCATTTGCTGCAGCTCGAGCGCGCCCATGATGAGTCTCGCGCTTGCGACAGGCTAGCCAAAAGTAATCTTTTTTTACGAATTCTGTGACGTCATGTTTTGGAAGAATGTCCCAACAGTCATTCGCGTATTATTATGAATGGTCCCGGACACCTCAACACCAACAACATGCATCAGATACATGTTGTCATATGAGCACGGAGGAGCGAACAAATCGAAAGAGCAGAGAAATCAGCAGTGAATGAATGAATCAGTGTTTGTCGAGGGTAGTATTGATCATAACTACATGTTATCACAGTCCGTTGTCCAGATCAAAGCTGTGTACATCAACCCAGTGAATGTTAGAGACGGGACTACATGATGTATTTACCTACTTTTCAGTATGGTGTGTGATGGTTGAGATGTGCGTATTGACTACAGACCTTGTGTGTTGTACAGTGTAAACCTTGATCGATCTCGACCTGGAGTAGGTGCAGTGTGACTACGACCATGAGCAACGTGTGTGTAAACAAAACCAACCTGGACACCAGTATAGCAGCAGTCAACGGAGAACAGGGACTGACTAAGGGATTGCATATCATTCACCATCCACATCACACCATCGCCTGTCCAAACATACCAGACGGAGCTGTCCAAACATACCAGACTTTGACATACGCTTGTCATACATTCGTGCTATGTGTCCAAACTAGCCTAATCCATTCTCCCTGATGATGCCTGCTACTTTGTAGCAATCTATGTGGTGTGTGTTGGCAGGTATCAGGGTAGTGGAGATGACTTGATGATGGCACTGCTGCTCTTGCCGTGACTAATGATCATACATGTACTGTAGATACTGGAAATGTAACAGATGTCTTCCCAGTACAACTCTCCACTATATACACTGGAGAGTAGTGAACACTAAATGTGATGTGCACTTGACATCCACAACAAACAGATCATGAGTACAAAGATAGAGGAAACGAACAATGATTTTTTTCTGAAACTGAGTGGGTTGGAAATCATCACACCCTGCGCTTCTGCTGCAAGATTCACAACTGTGTCTATATAGTTTATGCTACATGCTACACACACAGGTCAATCCATGGCTAGGGATAACGCATATAGCTGGTTGGTATATCGGCTAGCACTATCTGATGTAGCAATCAGCTATGTATGAATGTCAGTCTCAACGAGGTGGCAGGAAAAGTACTGGGTGAACAGTATCGTCTTCAACACGCAAATGACCCGTTACCAACGGTAGTCTCAGCTTTCACATACATACGCATACTTGTTACTTAGGCAGACAGGTGTTGAAAATGTATTCGTAAATCCTACTAGATTTGTACTGCTGGGGACAACTACCAAACAAACATAACCTAAAAAAAAGATAACACTCTTGTAGCGACACAATCAGCATACGTTATTGTTACAGTACTTCTGTGATATTTCCACTTTTGTAACATTGTCTTGAGTAGCAGACAATTCTCGCATATCCTACCAATGTTCTGTGGTGACGTGTGAACTTTGTAGCTGTTGGTTATTTCTGTTTGTGTAAATCACACCAGTCGAGAATTTCCCGTATATATAGTCATGTAGTCTTGCGGTCTCTAATTTCACATTTCATCTTCATTCTTTATGATGGTCCTGATGACAGAAACGTTTGATAATTCACTTGAAAACGTATCGCTATGACTCGCAACGGTTGAGTGTCAGACAGAGTTTGCAAAGGCGGTCCATGGGACGCAGTAAAACTTGCCGCTGAGGTAGTTTATAGCTTATGCATAGCTTCGTAGCAGATCACCATCTCATCACGTGATCTCATTACGTAAATATCTGCTAACCCGACCGACCGGAGTGCCTTGTGCCAGCTATAATACTAGTAAGTAGAGGTGACTGGATGGTCGTGTGGAA